GTGGTGATTGAGCAGTACACCGGGACACAATCCAATACTATATTCTTTAACGTGCACATGGGCCAAAATGCACAATAGACCAATGGTTTAAACGTCTCATCCAAAAGACAGTGCGCTATTATTGCCCCCCCAGCTGAAACACAAGTAAAGCAGCAATATGAATTGAACAAGGGACCGCCTAGAGATGTCCACGCTTCAGTGCACACACAGTGGCTACAACCAGTTTAGCCGACTAAGCTAACCTGCTCTCACCAATCGTCACATTGGTTGTAAGATTAAGCATAGTATGCCTATGAAAAAAAATGTCAGCACAGTGAAGATATTCCAGATTACCTAAAAAGCCAATTGATAGTTAGAACCGTTAGTTAGTTAGAACCACCAGTTTAGCCGACTAAGCTAACCTGCTCTCACCAATCGTCACATTGGTTGTAAGATTAAGCATAGTATGCCTACGAAAAAAAATGTCAGCACAGTGAAGATATTCCAGATTACCTAAAAAGCCAATTGATAGTTAGAACCGGGCAGGCTGTTTTGAAGGTCAATCAACAAAAACGCCATTAAAACAAGTGTATATTGATTGGCCTGGATACTGTAGGATACGTGCATGCGCAGTTCAGTCAATAACCATGAATTGGCATATTAAGACTATATAAAATCATTATTGTATTTTTGGGTAACTTGCTATTGGAATTCAGATTAATAACGGCGACGGTTTTAATCCTTATTTAAATACAATAATTATTCATTTGTATATCGTTACATTTTTTTTTATAAAAGCTGATATGCCTACAAGTGCCAGGTACCAAGGAGATAGAAGCCTGTAAGGGGACCCCAGACCTAATCTTAAACTACAGTAAAGTCTACAGCTTATCTCACGCAAATTAAACACAAACAGATAATGAAAGATAAACAATAGAGTGTAAAAAAAATTAAATAATATTAATAATAATAAAAATAATAATAATAGCACAGTACAACGATATAAATAAATCTTCAGGGTATTTCAGTATTCCATAAATTCACCTACAAACAACGAAAAAGTGTGGTGTGTGAAACGTTGAGTGTACAATTGAGTAAATACCATCACTTAAAATTGTGAAAATGTAAACAATTACATAGATATATACATTACTATACTATAAAATACAATTTTAAACATTATTTTTTGACGTTTAAAAATATCCGCTGGCGCTTAGTCACACTAAACACACCAATCCCTCTCTGCGAATTACTCTTACCATTCCAGCAGCCTTGTTCATCTGACCAATCGAGACAGTTATTTTCTCGGTCACATCGTTTTGCAGCGGCAATACAGACACCATTCGCACACTACAAGCTGTAAACAAACAATCATTGTTTTATAATACAATTAAAGTATATTGATAATACAGTGTCATGTTTATATTTCATTTAGCGTTATGGTAGAATTGGTAGAACGCGTACAGATAGCATATAGATATGAGATGAGGGTTATAACAGGGAGGCCTACCGGTAGGGTGAGCTCTTATTTAGTCAAATGAGTATGTAATATTTAAAAATAACAAATTGTTGTTTGGTATACAAATAAAGATTATACAGTAATTAAGATATTAAAGAAAATTTTACACAATATGTGAAACAATTCCTATATTTAAAAAAAAATTAATCAATGGCTCATTTGCTTTAGTTGTAACCTTATTGTGTTTGAAAAATTTAACAATATAAAGAAAGATATGCAAACACTCTGATTTAGGAAGATTCTGCGCATTATACCCAAATACCACTACAAATTGGAGTTCCTGCATATTCTATGCAAAGACTTAAAATTTGTAAATTGCACCCCAGCATTTGTGTACAATGTTTATTTATTTCCATACTTACGGCAAGACTGTAGCTCGTCACTGAAGTCAGCACAATCAATGATTCCATCACACACTTGTTCCAATAGTACAAACTCAAAATCACCACATACAAAAATTTCTATAAAAAAACAAAAACACAAAAAAACAATATACTATTAGGATATGCTTAGAATTTATCACATATCAAACAATATTCAGGCTGTGAATCGACTCGAATAATACAACCATTACAAACATCAGTAGTCATTTATTGTTTCATAATTATTAAGAAGTTATAAAACATACATTTTTATGTGACAACATCCATCACAATAAAGAGATGATTGCCATAATTTTGAAATCACCTCCATCAAAGAGTTTAATGCCATTCTTAGGGAAGGTTTTGTAATTTTGTAAATATAATGGAAACACATAGCACTTTACACTGCCTTTGTATATTTGTTTGAGCAATTATGTAGGTGAATGAAATTTCTTCTGATTAGAAATAGGTATAAGTATTGAGGTTGAGAATTATAAAAAGTGGGAGTAGGTATTTGTAGCAATAACTACATGCAGAAATTGACTCGTATCGCTTGTTCAATATCTTTTTACGATCAGATGCGATGATGTATTATTTTTCGCTCGTTGAATTGTGTTTCACTTAATGGTGACGTGGGTGTTCCTCCTTTTCAGATTCATTTCATTTCATTTATTTAATCAAAAATAATTACAATATAAAAGAATAAAACGGTTAAAAAGAACCAAAAAGATACAATAAATGTTGGTCTCTGATTCCCCACAAGGGCCGGCTGTATGTAGCGTATCCATGTTTGTTTTAAACAAAAATGTTACATCACTCACTTCCACTAAGTATATCATTACTTTACACTGCCTTTGTATATTTGTTTGAGCAATTATGTAGGTGAATGAAAGTTCTTCTGATTAGAAATAGGTATAAGTATTGAGGTTGAGAATTATAAAAAGTGGGAGTAGGTATTTGTAGCAATAACTACATGCAGAAATTGACTCGTATCGCTTGTTCAATACCTTTTTACGATCAGATGCGATGATGTATTATTTTTCGCTCGTTGAATTGTGTTTCACTTAATGGTGACGTGGGTGTTCCTCCTTTTCAGATTCATTTCATTTCATTTATTTAATCAAAAATAATTACAATATAAAAGAATAAAACGGTTAAAAAGAACCAAAAAGATACAATAAATGTTGGTCTCTGATTCCCCACAAGGGCCGGCTGTATGTAGCGTATCCATGTTTGTTTTAAACAAAAATGTTACATCACTCACTTCCACTAAGTATATCATTTATTAGTTCGGTGTAGCTGGATACTCTTGTATAACCACCAACATCAGAAGCACACGGGTTTTTAGTGAAACTAGCAACACCAGCAACAAACCATATACCATCACGTTTACACATCAGAGGCCCACCACTATCACCCTAAAAACACAAGTTGAAGGATAAATGTACAAAATGAAATGTATGTTGACAAACTGAGCCACATGTACATATACATACTATACAATAATAAAAAAAAAAACTGGTATAGCACAAAAATTCCATCACGTATGGCAATGTTCAGTGGCACAATGACAATGGTATAACTTTTTAAAATGGTTAATTTAATGTATGATTAATGCATTGTTCCATGTTGTAAAATAATGAAAATCATTTATAGAAAAATAAAAATGATTTTTTTTTTTTCTTGAATACCGGTATATAACGAATGAAGGCTGTTTTACCTGCACAGGAAGTGGGTTCTATATAATAGTTGATGAATGTGAAAGTAATTGTCTACTTTGTAGGTGCCTATAAGAACTTTTTATTTATGCACATGAGAAGATTTAAAGATTACGGGAGGTTTATTGGAGTCGTATATAGTGATGTAATGAAGCGTGAGGTCATAAAGAACTTTACGGTCTCCACATCACTTCGGGTGAATAAATTTCCCCATTCCCCTCATGAGCAATCAACTATAATATAGTATAATATTACATCAACTGAACTATCGTAAGGCCCGAAACTAAGGACAGAGCATATTGATAGCCATGACTATACCATAAATTGTAACTCTTTTGTAATTCATTTTCATTAATTTTATGAACAATGTGTAAATATACATGATAAACTAATGGATTTATTTACATCATACCTTGATTCAATAACTAAATATAATAGGCTTAAATATATATAACTTCTAACAAATTTTATGGTTAAAGCGTATGTGATATTGGTCTATGACGTAAATAAAAAAATTCTTTGGTGTTTTTACTTTCCCTTGTGATGTTAATTTTCCTTTGTAAATTTCAGTGTGAGTTTTTACCCTTTTTTGTAGTTTTTTCTGTTCATAATATTAATTTGCATTTTATCATTGTTGTAAATCTACTAGCAATTCAGTCATGTTTTAATTTTACCTCAATGATTGATAATAAAATCAGGATGTAAGAATGAAATTTTATAATTTTATTCTTTAGCTGAATGACTTTATGTATATGTTTTCTTTGGAAATATTTATGAAAAATCCTACCCTGCATATTCCTTTTTCATCCTCAAATCCTCCAGTGCAAATAGTAGAGTTTGTCATTATTTCAAGTTGAGAAACATTTCTGCATTCTTCTTGGCTGATTATCGGGACTGTAATTTCTTGCATTGTATTTGGAATTGGTCCTGTTGATATTATATATAACAATATTTTAATGTTTAACTTATTAACAAATTAAAAAAAGATAATATTCATAGATATATAACATATATATATCACAAGTGATCCAACTTTCACACAATGTTTAGCATATTTACATAACCAGGGCTATTCAGCGCCGTAATCACAATCTGTGCATAGAGGTTCTATTTTCTCTATGATCTGTGCAAGATCAAAACTTAAGTTGTTATAATTAACTGTCAGCTTTCCAATGAAGAAAAAAAAACTTCTATCCTTAGGACTCAAATTTTACCCTAAACAGAGGAGGCTGACCCACAATATTGTCTTTGGATCTGGAAGATTTCTGCTGACGTTTAGTGCTGTTGCAAATCTTTTGCCAATTCCGAAGGCAATACCACAGACTACATAGCTGGGCAATGTTGACAAACTTCAACTAAAAAATACCTGAAATCCCCATAAGAATCCTAAAATTTAGAAACTTTCACTGTCAGGCCGCTGAAGAGGAAGTGACAAAAGTATGTTCCTTGTCCAAATTTTCCCGAAAATCTCACACAAAAAGAGAAATTTATATATCTGCAAGTGCCCCCCACCGGGATTCGAACCAGAGACGACTTAACCAACTGGACCATTGAGGCTTTTATTGGAAGTTTGAGTATATATATATATATATATA